TATGGGTCCAAGTTCATCCGACCCTTAGAGTTTGAGGTGGACCCCTTTGGAGCACAAACGTTCGCTAGGAAGACCACAGGAGTCGTATTGGAAGCATCGGTGATTTTGGGAACCTTATCCGGTAGCGGTCAGCCAATGTTTGAGTTTGTCCTTGGGTTTTCACACCAATGATTGGTCCAACCCGATGAAGAAAGGGTGGCCTCGAGGGTTTCCACCCATAAATCCTTCAGGTGAATAGCGATTTTTCGTGTAAGTGGAGCTCGAGTGGAGCTAAGAAGGTTCCTCTCAGCCACTCCCACAAATTCCAACTCGGCAAATGTACCACACCACATTTATGTGACCATTTTTTCAAATGCGAAATGAAGGACACAAAATTCGGATATGTCCTAGGATTCAAAGTAGCCGATTGCGTATATGAACAGTCGACTCAGGAACCACAGGTAAAAGAGTAAACTGTCATTGTAAGGAATTACGGAACGATCCAAGAAGTTATTATAAAATAAATAGGCTTTCTCTGAGATGTACAATTCAATGCGTACTTCAGGAGAAAGTACTAAAGAAGAAGATCGTCACAGAAGAGCTGAAACATTTTCCTGGCAAGAACACTGGTGAAAAGAAAGGTGATTGTTTCAGAATTCTGCTTCAGCCATTAAAGAAATCCGTGTTATTTTAGATGTGCAAAGTCAACTACCGAGCGTATATGATCCCGTATACGTGGAGTCGGATTGGTACGCCTGGTGGGAGAAGGAAGGATTTTTCAAGCCAGAGTACGGTAGACAGAACGCAGCGTAAGTTTCAGAAGTCTTCAGTTGGTAAATTCTAAGGTATCCTCCGGTTCCCACTATCTGCAGAATACCCAATCCGAAAGGAAGCTTCACCATTTGCATCCCTCCACCCAACGTTACTGGTACACTTCATGTTGGTCATGCGCTTGCCACTACCATCGAGGACACACTAACAAGATGGTTTGTAATGGTCCGTAATTGAGCCCTTTCAATGTAACCCGTGAATCTTCAGGCACCGTATGAAGGGAAGAACCACACTGTTCAATCCTGGTTGTGACCATGCAGGTATTGCCACGCAGGTGAGCTTTCTGACCTAGTTCTTCTTAAGTACCCATCCCTATTCTTTACTATTCGGGATCCCTTACACAGGTTGTTGTGGAGAAGAAGTTACAACGCGAGAGAGGGCTGACAAGACATGATCTCGGCCGAGATCACTTCATTCATGAAGTGTGGAAGTGGAAAAACGAGTTGGTCATTATCATATCCAAACCTATTTCTTTTATAAGGCTTCATTGCTTTCAATGAACGAATTCCAGAAAGGGCGGAGTGATCTACGACCAACTGCGCAAGATGGGCGCTTCGGTAGACTGGGATCGTGCCTGCTTCATGATGGACCCGAAGATGGTCCGAGCGGTAACCGAAGCATTCGTTCGCATGCACGAGCGTGGCACTATCTATCGGTCCAATCGACTTGTGAACTGGTCATGCGCCCTCCGAAGTGCTATTTCGGATATTGAGGTAAACAGCCAAACGATGAAATTGAGCTTTTTCAGAAACTAGCGCAGCTGCTTTCTATTCGGAATTCTAGGGCAAATCTCTTTAGGTAGACAAGAAGGAGCTGACAGGTCGCACACTTCTTCCTGTACCTGGATATGATGAGAAAGTGGAATTCGGAGTTCTAACTTCGTTTGCTTACAAAATCAAGGGAACAGGTCTGTGGCTTTGTCGCTAGTCGGGACGACATTTTCTAGTTTTTAACCATTCAGATGGGGAAGTGGTTGTGTCGACTACTCGTGTTGAAACAATGCTTGGTGATACTGCAGTTGCCGTTCATCCCGAAGACCCCCGCTACCAGCACCTAATTGGCAAGGTAAGCTCCTTTTCGTCAGTTTACATGGCTGTCAGTATTTGTCTATCATGAGATTATCAATCTTCGACCTGAACCTCGCTACTAAGGCGGATAGTTCAGGTGTGTGTTCATCCATTCGTTGATCGCGAGCTTCCAATAGTTCCGGACACCTTCGTCGATCGTGAATTTGGAACGGGAGCCGTGAAAATTACACCAGCTCACGATCACAATGATTACGAGGTAAATTAATGGATGAATTCATTCACTCGTTCTTGGTGCTTCACTCCCTCTTGACCTCTTCAGGTCGGAATTCGTCACAATCTGCCATTCATCACCTGCATCGACGATGACGGCATGATTTCCGCCGGTTGCGGCAAATTCTCCGGCATGCGCCGTTTCGATGCGAGAAAGGCCGTCACGGAAGCATTGAAGGAACTGAATCTCTACCGAGGATCAGAGGACAACGCAATGGTTGTCCCAGTGTGCAGGTGAGCCGAGAATCCTCTGGAATGAAACAAACTCCTTTTCATGATTTCTCAAATGTTTCACCCTTTCCCACATAAGTTCTGCATATTGAATCCATCCCGAACGAACTCTGATTGCTTGGTCTTGATGTCGTGAGGGGAATTCTGAGCATTTCAGTCGTTCCAAAGACATTATCGAGCCTCTTCTGAAACCGCAATGGTATGTCAAGTGTGACGAAATGGCCAAGAAAGCCATAGAAGCTGTCGAAAGCGGAGAGCTGAAGCTCATTCCCGACTACCACGTCGCTACCTGGAATCGCTGGCTTCAGGGCAGCAGGTAAGTGGTTTTCGAATCTTTGGTATTTCTGTAAATTGCTAATGCTTGAACTCGTCCCCCTCAGAGATTGGTGTATTTCTCGACAGCTGTGGTGGGGTCATCGTATTCCAGCCTACTTTATCACTGTAACCGATGGGAAGGTGAGTTACTTTCTTCCGCTCTTTCACTCCGAATCGTCCAACGCGATATTCTCCTTCCAGACTCCAGCAGGCGATCCTTGCGACGATCGTTACTGGGTCTCAGCCCACTCTGAGGAACTGGCCCGGAAGAAGGCGGCGAAAAAGTTCAATGTCGATCCGAAGTTCATCCAGCTTAAATGGGGTGGGTGGTAGCAACAAATGTGAGGAGCAAGTTTTGCATTTTAAAGCTCATTTTCAGATGAAGATGTTCTGGACACGTGGTTTTCGTCTGGTATGTGGCCGTTTGTCATCATGGGATGGCCGGAGAACACTAGTGACATGCAGCTTTACTTCCCCTCGAATGTTCTTGAGACTGGTGAGCACCTTCTTCAGTGTCTTCAGGGGCTTTTTGTTACCCACACTGTTGATGCATGATTCTCAGGCCATGACATCCTCTTCTTCTGGGTAGCACGAATGGTCTTCCTGAGTCAGGAACTCACGGGAAAACTGCCATTCAAAGAGGTTGGACACTGGCACACTTATTCGAGGTTGTGATGAAATTTTGCTCCTTCAGGTCTATCTCCATGCCATGATTCGAGATGCTCATGGGCGTAAAATGTCGAAGTCCCTCGGCAACGTCATTGATCCCCTCGATGTAATCAGGTACGATGAGAAAATTCTAGGGATTTCAAAGATCATATCGCTTTCAGAGGCGTAACATTAGCGGAGCTGAATCACCAGTTGACGACGGGGAACTTGGATGCGAAGGAGCTCGCCATCGCCCAGGCTGGTCAGGCGAGAGATTACCCCAAGGTGATTCCATTTTTAATAATATTAGCCCACGGACCATTTTATTTGCGGAAAGTTCAGGGCATTCCTGAATGTGGTACCGATGCGCTGCGGTTCGCACTTCTGGCTTACACTAGTCAAGGCAGAGACATCAACCTGGACGTCCTTCGTGTTCAAGGGTATCGCTTCTTCTGCAACAAGGTCCAACTTTGTGACAACTCTACTTGTCCTCATGCTGACTTTGATTCTCAGTTTGTTCTTCCAGATATGGCAAGCTGTCAGGTTCACTTTGATGCAGCTGGGCAGTGATTATCATGCAGAGCCATTCAAGGTTCGTTGGCTTAGGGTTTTTCTAAGAAGTTGTGATACATGGTAACTTTTTTCCAGCTTTGCGGAAAAGAGTCCATCATGGACCTGTGGATTCTGTCGCGTGCTGCTCATGCGGTCAATCGCTGCAATGCAGGCATGGAGGCTTACAACTTCACTCAGGTCTGTTTTCAAAATTGTCATGTCTTCATTTCTCTGAATATTGAAATGAACAGAGCCTCTTGTTGGGAAGAAAACAAGCACCGAATTTTCGACTATTCCTTTTTCTAGTACCTTCGTTCCCATTGGATTCCGCCTTTATTTTCATTGATGACTTTTTCGACCCTGCGTCATTTTTCATATTTAAGGTGACCACCACGTTGTATGACTTCTGGCTTTACGATCTTTGCGATATCTACCTCGAAGCCGTGAAGCCGGTCATCTCTTCAGGTAGCTGTTCTTCGAATATCTCGCTAATGAATGATCTCATATGATCCTGACTTTAAGGAACCGAGGAGGCACGTGAAACAGCTAAGGCGACACTCTACAACTGCGTCGAAACCGGTTTGAGGCTGATCAGTCCGATCATGCCGTTCCTGTCCGAGGAGCTCTGGCAGCACCTCCCTCGTCGCAAGTCTCAGCCTCCTTCGATAACTGTCCACTCATATCCAGAAGTTTCCGAGGTATAACCATACATCAGGAGTTGGCATCTTTGGAAATTGGAAGGCAGCACTTTACAGTTTCCGTTCACCAACGAGAAGATCGAAGCAGATGTCGCCTTTGCGATGAGCGTCATCCGAACTGTTCGATCGCTTCGCTCTGACTACGAGCTGACGAACAAAACGANTAATGAATGATCTCATATGATCTTGACTTTAAGGAACCGAGGAGGCACGTGAAACTGCTAAGGCGACACTCTACAACTGTGTAGAAACCGGTTTGAGGCTGATCAGTCCGATCATGCCGTTCCTGTCTGAGGAGCTCTGGCAGCACCTCCCTCGTCGCAAGTCTCAGCCTCCTTCGATAATTGTCCACTCATATCCAGAAGTTTCTGAGGTATAACCATACATCAGGAGTTGGCATCTTTGGGAATTGGAAGGCAGCACTTTGCAGTTTCCGTTCACCAACGAGAAGATCGAAGCAGATGTCGCGTTCGCGATGAGCGTCATCCGAACTGTCCGATCACTTCGCTCCGACTACGAGCTGACGAACAAAACGAAAACTGATCGTAAGCCCCTACTTTTTCTTTCTAGGTTGTTATGAGTAAACACGGATTACTTTTAGTTTACGCTTCTGTAAGTTCTGAGGAGGACCACAAGTGTTTGACGTCGTTGATTCCTCTAATTGAGACGCTCGCTTCGAGTAATAAGGTCCGTCTTTGATAGTTTTTATCAAGGAGATATGCGTCAATTCTCCCCTGTCTAGGTCGAAGTGCTTTCCAACGTGGGCTTGGATGGTGTACCTCAAGGATGTGCTCATGTTACAATTTCATCGAGATGTACCGTTTATGTGGCTTTACAGGTCTGCCTTCATTATTTCTTAGTCCTATATACCCGAAGTCCAGGTGACAGACAATGTCACTAATTTGCCCGGTAACTGTGTTTGTTAGCCCTCATGCACTCGATAAACCTTCTTTTCCTACCTTCCTATGGGTTTAACCTGATTTAGTGGTTGGTATAACATTACTTTTAAGGATATTATTAACATTGAACGGGAACTCACCAAGTTGGCCAGTAAGAAGGAGAAGATCGAGGCCCAGGTGGCAAAACTTGTAGATCAGGAGAGCCGGCCAGACTACGAGGCGAAGGTGCCGCTACCGGTTCGCATTACCAACACAGAGAAGGTAAATCAATTGTTTCGGCTACTGAAAAACTTGTATTATCCCAGTTTCGATTTTTGAATGATTTGACTTTTCAGAAAGAAGCGTTGCTCACTGAAGTTCGTAGTATCGAAACAGCTATGGCTGCACTACGGAGTTAGAGTTAATGCTATGGTATCTCCTTTATGAACAGATAGAATATTTATTACGATTTGTTTATTTCGAATCCTCGTTGTTGATATCATCCATAGGGTTTCTGGTTGTTTATTTGTTATCACCTGTTTTGTTTTGAACGGTCTAGGCCGCCTGGAAATAAAGTGCCTTGTTGAAGAGTTTAACGCTTTCCAAGTCTTCCAAATAGGCTTTATTAGTTCCATCAAAGCAAAAGAAGCCAAGTCATCATTCTGCGTCTCTGCATATGAACCTGATCTTTACCAGTTTTCGTGCGGGATTTTCGAAAATGGCTCGTCCGAAATCGATAAGGAGCAAGAATATTGACGCGCAAATAGTGGCTGCTTTCCCTCCCACAAGTGTCCTAGTATCACTTCATCTTTTACAGTTTTATATACTCTCATGCTTCATTTTTTTGTGGATGGCGACCCTAGGCTAGGATTAACTAGTCAAAAATACGGCTGCACCAAATCTCATCCGTAGGCAAGAATAAGATGGGAACCTCTCTTATCTGCTCTACGGCCGAGCTCCCACCGACTAGTACTATAAAGTTTTGTTAGGGAAGGTCCACAACTGCTAACAATAAGGCTTTTTTTCGTTGTTGAGTTTCTGATGTCATGTTATTTGTGTGTGTCTCTCTCTGTTATGTCGTTTCCTTATTGTTGTTGCTGGATCTACTCGTTAATAAATACTCTCGAGTTGTTAAAAAAGAAGTCCAAACGTTTTTGAAAAATAAGTAATGGTTTTCGCCTTTGCTATTTTTGCCAACTGCGTAGCCCCTAGGACAAAGGGGTACATTTATTTCTACCCGCGGCAGTAGTCTGCAATTGCGTACCAACAGCCAAACCTGTCACATATACGACACTTCGAAAAAGTGGGTATGGGCACACTCGTGCGTCCGGCAGTGCGCGGCGAACTTCATAGCGATTTTGACGACTCTGGCGCCTATCATTGGGGCACAAGTTCAAAGTAAAGATTAATAGGATCAGCCTACCCTAATAACCTACTCTTCTTCCTATTTGAGCCTCAATGAAGGCGCTGAAGTCGCTCAAATCG